ACTGATTGCCACAAATCTTGGATGAAATGAGAATATTCTGTGGCTTGAGATCCATGTGAGCGATGGAATGCGACCGCAATGTCTTCAACGCCGTCGCTATCTGTTGCAGAAAATGGCGGACAATGGGCTCTGAGAAGCATTTCCTCTGTCGGATCAGTTGAGCCAAATCTCCTCCGCAGCAGAACTCGAAGATTAAATATATATGGCTTTCAATCCATTTGAAGTCTTTGAGTTCAACGATGAACTGATTCTTCACTCTCTTAGTGATGGAAATCTCATTAATGATGCCATCAATTGATTCCTTCGACAGTGAGTTCTTTTGCACACATTTTATGGCAACTGTTTCCTCGGGTTTTGATCCCTAATTGTGGTTAAAAATGGTGTCAATAATTGTCGACAATTTGAATGGAGACGTCTTCGGGACAAACCTTTTTGAAGCCCTTGTAAACGGTTCCATAGGTTCCTCTGCCCAAGAGTTCGCCAAACCTATACTCCAGAAGTGAATGTCTGATCTTCAGAGACATAACAATCACATGAAATACTCGTTGATTACGACATGCATTCAGTCGTGTCTATTGATAATCAAAACAAAAGCCAAGTCTTGTTGTTGTCCTCAAAATATGCCATAAATTATGTCTTTGTTTACAGTATTTGTGATGAAATGATTGGTTAGACATTGAATGAGTGGATGAGACAATGCAATTGATCCGAAGACTGCCGCGACTATTGGTGTTTGATTTGGACCACACTCTATGGAACTTCGGTGTGGATCAGTTCCACTTCATTCCTCCGTACCATCGAAACAACGGACAGAGGATGAGACAATGCAATTGATCCGAAGACTGCCGCGACTATTGGTGTTTGATTTGGACCACAGAGATACCTTGAAGCCACACCTAGTCAAGGTGAAGTAAGGAGGCATGGTAGCTTTGTTGCCTGTCTAGATACTGAGCGTGTTGTTTGGCTACCTGACAAAGGGTCTTCACGGCGTTGAGAACGCTGCTCTGTCTGGCGATGGCTATGATCTGGCGGTCGCCTCGCGGACAACCTATCCCTCCGGCGCTCACTCTCTCATCGATCTCTTCCAATGGACTCAATATATCAAATACAGAGAGATATTTCCCGGCAGTAAAGTCACTCATTTTAGTCATCTTAAGACTAAATCCGGGTTTCAATACAAAGATATGGTTTTGTTTGACGACGAGAACCGAAATATCGTCGAAATCGGATCCCTTGGGGTCTTCGCGGTTCCCATTGACAGAGACATTGGCCTCACTGTCCGTATTGTCGACGACACACTCCAAGCGTTTCAATCGGACAATACATCCGAATAATAATAGTTTACAATTAAATACAATTAATATAATGTCATAAATGAGTCATTTTAATAATTAAAATCTTGGTTTATTTAGTAAATTAAATAAATTATCACGTAATGAGAAAATATGATATTTAATGCTAATCTGTTTATAATCACAATAAATATACAACAATTCAAATGACTTTTGTCTGGAAATCAAATGAATATTTTAGTGTTTTGTATGAAAATTATTTAAAATAATTAACTAAACAATTAACTAATAATTGGCGTCTAATATGAATGATTTACTAATTAGTGACAATTTGAACGTAACATAATTTATAGTTTTTATTATAAAATATAATTTACACTCCGTTTGTATGAATCTCTTGTATTTTACACTTCTTTGTTGAGTGTTTTTGTATTAACTTTAAATCGATTTGTATTTTGATGTCCAATCACTGTCTGCCTATAATATCACACATTTATTGCATATGAGAGCGAATGCATAACAGTATTGTCTTTCAATTCACTCTCAGCTTAAATAGGATTTAAGTTTGCGTACAGTCTTGTCGTCCAAACGCATCAAATCGAAAGTGAATGTGGTTTCAGTTAAGTCGAAATGACTCGACTCCTCGATGGTGTCCACTATTTTCTGCAAGAGATCAGTGTTCGTCGATTCGTTAATTTTCTTCTGCACTTGTATTAAGTCGAGCACAGAGTCGTCAAAGTCTGGACACATATTCAGCGAACGCTCTTCTTTCGAGTTATTCATGCGTTTATTCGAGTCATTTGTCGCCAAATCTTTCTTCCGTTTACTTGAATTCATTTTCGAGGAATCGTTTCTGTTTTGCTGCGAGTCTTTGGTCTCATTTTTCTTCAAATGGGCGCTCCTTTTGGGCGACTGTTTGACCACTGAGTGGTCACTGCTGTCCGAGTCGTCCAAAATGAAGCGACTGTTTGNAAAATTTAATTATAGGACAATTTATCGAAGAATAAATACACAGCAATTGCTTCTAAAGGAGTCAAAAATGATTCAAAATCATTGCATAAGAATTCGAGCAAAAACTCGTATTTATCGCCAACTCATAAGATTATTGACAAGTCGTCGAAAGAGACTAAAGAATCAAAGGATTCAAAGAGTAAAGAGAGTCTAAGGGAGAAGAAGAGAGTTGGACCAAATAGAGGCGAATGAATGGCAACAAATGCAGTAAAAAATAAGAGAGCGTTTGGGTCGTCAGTCCCACCCCAACGGCCTCTCAAATATACATTATATGATTTGGTCTCTGAAATAATTCAAGTGAAAAGATTTCAAGTTTTTCTTCGCCTCAAAACAATTATTATAAATAAGACTTTTGGCGGACAAATACTGTAGACATAAAGACTATGTATTTCTACATTATCTATATTACAGTGTATTGTATTGATAGTAGAGATCAAACGCTCGAAGCACTGAATTATTTCTTAATGTCTTCATTTCTCAAATACTTTTCCACAATGTGTTGAAAGATATTATTTTATAGCAAAATAGCAAACAATACTCTATTTTCTCGTTGTACAAAAACTTTTTTCAAAAATACTTTTATTGGATCCAATTTTCAAATCATACATTCATTGAGAATATTAAAGATATTTGTAATGAAAATAGTACTAAAATATTGTATAAAATTGAAAAACAATCAAAATTATCAAAAATATTGCGATTATTCAAAATATTTGTATTCAAATTAATAAATTCATTAACAATTGAAACGATAGAAAACTGTTTAAACTTTAAAGTCTTTCGTAAAGAAAGTATTGATACTTAATATCATTTTCTTGTTGTTGGCGTTGAGGTATAGCGTTGTCCTCATGAGTGATATCTTTGAATAGTTTGAGATCCACTTCAGGGAAGAAAACATCGCATCGGAAGTGAGCGTCGATTCGCGTTAAGTAAATATATTTGAATTGTTGGCAAACAATGGCCTCTTTGTACACCTCTTGACCTCCGATTACAAACACTTTGTCTATACTCTCATCACTCGATAGCTCTTCAATGGATTGCTTCAAAGTGGGAGACAAACGGTGCGCTCCTTTGGGCAACTGATCCAGTGATTGACTCAACACTACATTCAGACGACCGGCCAATGGCTTAAACTTTGGAGGAATCGATTCCCACGTCTTGCGTCCCATAATCACAGCATTTTGTTTGCCATCGATTGCTGTACTCGTGATTCGCGTGAAGTAAGCCATCTCTTCCTTCAGACGCCACGGAAGACGGCCTTCACATCCGATGCCATTCTCGTGACAGACGGCGCTTATTATGGCAAACGTCTTCTTCCCCACCGAACACATTGTCCAACCCTTCAGTTCCTCTTTGACTATACTTTTGCAAAGTTTGCCAAACTTTTAGTCATGTAATGCTTTGTATTAACGAAAGCAATAATTTATTGACTAAAGTTTTGTTCCAAACAAACGAAACAATGTTTTGATCGCTATTTTGAACGCCTTTTCAATACTGTTATAACTGTTGAGACACTTATCTCTAGATGTCATTAGCTTTCAAATCCATTCCTCTCACCATTGGATTTGTCTCCAATTGAGACGCCTTTTGGTCCTTATGTGTGAATTGTGTGCAAATCGTGTATTTGTACAATATTTGTCAATTATTGGTATAAATGATAAATACGTAGCCTTAGTATCACCCGTGCAGATAGAATTATGGAATCGGTCTTATTATTTAGGCTTACATTCTTAAGCACCAAAATCCGAGTTTCATCAAAATAGTATGATTACTTTTTTACACAGCACTTTTTTGAATGAAGTTGGGCAAAATACAATGTGCAATGTATTCCAATGGGAGGATACACGTTTTCGTATTTACCGGCGGTTGAAATCGTAGTTAAATTAACCATGCTCAAACAATACTAGACATAATACAAATGGTTACTCTTGTGAAAACTACATCATGAATGGAATCTAACCATTAGTCTATTCAATGGTTAACTCTGACCGGTACCCAAATTATGATCAGTAATATCGGTAATCGGCACAATTGGCCGCTCTGTTCGGTGTCTTTCCATTTGATTTCCATTATAAGTGATGTCATCATAACTTCTCTAAACTATTGTCGGATAATTACTAATGAATCCCAATAACTAAATAAACACTTCAATCATATCTATGGTAATAATATTTTCACTCTAAAAATGGGAAAAATTTCGGTCTAATTTTTTGATTCAGATTTTAAAAAATATTTCTGTCCTATTTCTGTTATATACTTTGAATGTGATCTTAAATAATGAGACCAATTACAAGATTCTAACTACACGGCAACTTGGCTAGTCTAATACAATATCATTTATACAATAAGTAAGAGTACATTTAATGCTATCAAATTGCCAATTTGAAATTGGAAGTAATTTGACAAACACTGAATTAAAACCAATGCAATTCAAGTATTGAATAAGTATTTTATGGCTTAACGAAAACGTATGAAAGGAATACTAAAATGAGATTCACCTCACATTCGCCCGATATTTAATTTATATTTTATTTGTTGCAATCTATACGTACAGTACAACTGAATTACATTAATTCTCAATTTGCAATCACTTATAATTGCGTTGTGAGAGCAGATTTGAACCATTATTGGTATACGACAAACAATTGATACATTTCTTCGTATTTGTATATTTATTAAAAATAGTTTCAAACATTGAATAATTCCCTGTTTAGTTGTTTTACAGTTAAAGAATTTACTAACTATATAAATAACTGACTTTAGTTAAGTTTTGTTATAAAAATTTGTTTACTTATATTTTATGTTTTGGTTACTAATTATTTTGTTATAATAAATGTCCATAAAATCAAAATTCATTGCAATTCACAATCATTTAATAATCTTATAAATTCTTTAAATCAACAAAAACTTATTTGAAAACAAATGATTCAAAAAATATCACTTTTAATGACTGAATTCACTGCACATAACAAGTGGGAGACACTGAAAGGTCTCTTGAATTGCATGTTTTGGTCACAAAATTATTATACGAAAGATTTCTTCTCTTATCAATTGCTTCCAGACTTTGTCTATTATTAGCATTTTTATTATCACTTGTTTTAAACCGACTTTTCACGAGTTCTGCTCTTGTGATCCATTTGTTGAGCTCTTCATAGAGTATAGTCTTGTCATTCACTTTAAGTCTCGGCATTACTTCAAAACCCATTTCGATTGCATTATTGTATTCAACGAAAGCCTTTCTAAAAGACTTGATTTTCACCAACTGTTCGGCTTTTTCTATCAACTGATAAGCGGTTTGAATGGATTGCAAGTCTTTGGGATCGACTGCAATGAGACGACAATTATTTTTCAACTCTTCCGGAGAAAGGTATATAACTCAATTAAAGCAAAGCTCTCGAAACCGACACAAAACTAGGGTTTGTCACCTAGGCAGCGGGGTAAATATCTGCCCTTGGTTTATGACTTCCGGAAGCCATATCTCAAATTTAGACTCGTTATAATGACCTTTTAAGTCATTGTCAACGGCTTCTCGTATTAGTTGAACGCCTTTGGTGTACGACTCGGAGGACGGCATGTGCTCTAAATCGATAAATGGATGGCCAAAGAACTCGTCAAATGAGATCCTTTTTCGTGGATCTCTTTGCAAAAGTTTGGCTAAAATATCTCTACAATTGTCTGAAATATCAATATTTGTGGGAATTTTGATCGGTTCCGGACTTTTGATCTTTTGAGTTAACTCTTCTATGCTCTCTGAGCTGAAGGGAGCGCTTCCGAAGAGACACTCGTAAAGAATAATACCGACGGACCAGAGGTCAACACTCGCGTCATATTTGGTTCGGAGGAGTATTTCTGGCGCCATATATAGAGGCGAACCCCTGAGAGAAGTGGCCGAGTCTTCGGGGCGTAAGTATTGCGCAAAACCAAAGTCAGCGATCTTTAGGACAACATTTCGCCACTGATTGCCACAAATCTTGGATGAAATGAGAATATTCTGTGGCTTGAGATCCATGTGAGCGATGGAATGCGACCGCAATGTCTTCAACGAAAACCAAAGTCAGCGATCTTTAGGACAACATTTCGCCACTGATTGCCACAAATCTTGGATGAAATGTCTTATAAGACACCGAACTCTAGGTACACTCGCTACCTTACGCTGGCGTTACAGAAGTTGCGGCAGCGATAGACAACGTCTTTTACCGCCTGTTACCCGAGACTCTTCGTAAAGGAGACAGCCTAGTATTGAGCCAAATCTCCTCCGCAGCAGAACTCGAAGATTAAATATATATGGCTTTCAATCCATTTAAAGTCTTTGAGTTCAACGATGAACTGATTCTTCACTCTCTTAGTGATGGAAATCTCATTAACGATGCCATCAATTGATTCCTTCGACAGTGAGTTCTTTTGCACACATTTTATGGCAACTGTTTCCTCTGGTTTTGATCCCTAATTGTGGTTAAAAATGGTGTCAATAATAGTCGACAATTTGAATGAAGGCGTCTTCGGGACAAACCTTTTTGAAGCCCTTGTAAACGGTTCCATAGGTTCCTCTGCCCAAGAGTTCGCCAAACCTATACTCCAGAAGTGAATGTCTGGCCTTCAGAGACATAACAATCACATGAAATACCCGTTGATTACGACATGTCGTGTCTATTGATAATCAAAACAAAAGCCAAGTCTTGTTGTTGTCCTCAAAATATGCCATAAATTATGTCTTTGTTTACAGTATTTTGTGATGAAATGATTGGTTAGACATTGAATGAGCTAGTGTTGTCCAAACGGTTAACCGGTCAAAGAATGGTTTGACCGTTAACCGATCGGTCAAAAAAATCTTTGACTTTAACCTTAACCTCGGTTAACCGGTTAACCGTTTTTCACAGGCTGACGTCATTAAGCGCTAATATATTTGTAAAATACCTTTAGTTTTAGGGTATTTTGCAACAATTTTAGGGTATTATTTTTTACTTTTGGGGTTATTTTGCAAGAAAGGCGTAACTCTATTAATGAATAATGACTGGTTTTATTAAAATTATTAGTTATTAGTAATAATAGTAATAACTTATTACAAATTATTGCTGTACCATCAATTACGTAGCGGTTAATCGGTTGACCGGTTAACCGTCGGTCAAAATATGCTTTGACTTTTAACCGATCGGTCAAAAAAAATCATTGACTTTAACCCGGTTAAAATTTTTTAGCCGGTTAACTTTGGACAACACTAGAATGAGCGGATGAGACAATGCAATTGATCCGAAGACTGCCGCGACTATTGGTGTTTGATTTGGACCACACTCTATGGAACTTCGGTGTGGATCAGTTCCACTTCATTCCTCCGTACCATCGAAACAACGGACAG